AAAGCAGAAATAATCTATCAATTAGGTGATGAATTAAATAAATTAGATATTAAAATAAATCTAGCATTATGTGATGGGTGCCAAAAGAAGAATATATTAAACCCATTATGTGCATTACTCAACAAACTAAATGAATCAAATGCATCAATTAATTCAAACAAATTACTTGACACATTAAAAATAATAGAAGATTGTACCAGTTGTTCACAAACATATAATTATTATTATTTATTTTATGTATCATTAAATGAATTAAAAAAGATTTCAGAAGAATTAGACAAGGAAGAAAATGGAGATAGGAAAGCAAAAATAATCCATAAATTAAGTGATGAATTAAATAAATTAGATGCTAAAATAAATGGAATAACATTATGTTATGGGTGTCAAAAGAAGAATATATTAAATCCATTATATGGATTACTCACCAAACTAAATGAATCAAATGAATCAATTATTTCAAACAAATTGCTTGACACATTAAAAATAATAAAAGATTGTACCAGTTGTGCACAAAGAAGATATAATTATTATTATTTATTTTATGAATCATTAAATGAACTAAAAAAGATTTCGGAAGAATTAGACAAGGAAGAAAATGAAGATAGGAAAACAGAAATAATTCATCAATTAAGTAATGAATTAAATAAATTAGATGTTAAAATAAATAGATTAAGATTATGTTATGGGTGTCAAAAGAAGAATATATTAAATCCATTATATGAATTACTCATCAAACTAAATGAATCAAATGAATCAATTATTTCAAACAAATTCCTTGACACATTAAAAATAATAAAAGCTTGTGCCAGTTGTGCACATAGATATAATTATTATTATTTATTTTATGAATCATTAAATGAATTAAAAAAAATTTCAGAAGAATTAGATGATGAAGAAAATGAGGACAGGGAAGTAGAAATAATCCATAAATTAAATGATGAATTAAATAAATTAGATGTTAAAATAAATAAAACAGTATTATGCGATAGTTGTCAAGAAGAAAAAATTTTCAACTCATTAAATGAATTACTCACCAAACTAAATGAATCAAATGAATCAATTAATTCAAATCAATTACTTGACACATTAAAAATAATAGAAGATTGTACCAGTTGTAAAAAATATATACCAAGATATAATTATTATTTATTTTATGTATCATTAAACAAATTAAAAATTATTTCAGAAGAATTAGGCAAGGAAGAAAATGAAGATAGGAAAACAGAAATAATCCATAAATTAAATGATGAACTAATTAAATTAGATGTTAAAACAACTATAGTATTATGTGATGGGTGTCAAAAGGAGAATATATTTGACCCATTATGTGAATTGCTCACCAAATTAAATGAATCAAATGCATCAATTAATTCAAACAAATTACTTGACACATTAAAAATAATAGAAGATTGTACTGGTT